CTCTAAATCTCCAGCCAAAGTTAATAACAGCCAGCACCTGGCTAAAGAACAAATCAAAGCAAAATGCGAATCTGGGGTCGTGACCCTAAACCACCCCATCAATGGAAAAGACTGCTTTCAAGCCTTTCAAGATGAACCTGTCCTAATCCTAGAATTAACCCCTCTACTAGCAAATAACAAAACTCCATCCGATAGTCCCTTAGCTGAGCCTTCAGTCTGAGGTTATGCTCTAACTCTGTACATAAATATTGTGCTGTGGTGATATGTGAATCCACCTGCTAAATCCTCTCCAAACACAGGGAACTTGGCTCTTCGGATGAGGCTCAGACCAGGGGCACAGCTCCTCTCACAGACTGGGGTCCTTAGTCAGCTCGCCACCCACTTCCTTCCCTTGGTCTGGGGACTATGCAATTCCCAGTGTTAGTTGAGAAGAGATGGTGATGGGACAGGGAGACACACGCCAATCATTACTGCCTAGGGCTTTGGACCTCTTGCTCCTTCTGCCCCCATTCATCAGTATACTGCACTTCCCCTTGGAAGCACTGATCGCAGTCATAACTCCACCATTATCTGCAAAGTCATTCTTGTAATGTTTGTTTCCACACCAGACTGTGAGTGTGAGCTCCTTGGGGACAGGAACCAGGCCTGTGGTTCACCACAAAATCCCCAGTGCCTTTCAAGGTGCATGCTCAGTGATTGAGCTGACTACATGAAGGAAATAACAGTCATTGATAATAATAAAAATGTCTCCCAAAACACTTTGCAGTAAATAAAACACTTTCATGTGTATTATATCACTTGCTCCTCAGAACAGACTGGGTGGCAGAGGTCTCCCTGTGCTGGGGCTGGCTTGCACCGGCTGGACAGATGCCACCATTAAACATTCAGCACTTTGGCAAGCCAGTTGTTAGACTGCTGTTAGCTTGATATTACACATGGTGGGGAGATTTACACTCTGGAGATCAACAAAGTCTACAAATAAAGGCTTTTCTTTTATAAAGAGCAGGTTTATCAGAAAACCACTGGCATTAGGTATGTTCAAAAGCATCTGCGCACATGGGGACCACTTTAAATGTGGTGCCACTGAGCTTCAGGAAGATTGAGTGAGATGCTCCGGGTCTCTGAGCCTTGCTGCCATTGAGATGCTGCCTCCAGATGCATTTACTCAGTCCAGCAGGCATTTGTTGAGCTCCAACTATGTGCCCGGAATGTCCTGCCATGGCAAAATGTGATTGGGAAATAAGTGGTTAAGACCAAGGGTTCTGCTTCTCATCAGAGCTTCTCTCCACGTGCAGTGCTGGTACCTGCCCTCGAAAGCCCAGCCCTGGTCAGGCCCCAGAACCACAGTGAGATGGGCACCTGATGCTCCACCACCGTGTGGGGTCTGAGAAGGGTCCTGCTGCCACAGAGGCAGCACCTGGCGCAAGGGGAGGGGGCCGGCCCGCTATGCTCACCCCCGTCCAGGGCTCCTCTCACAGGACATGCTGCTCCTCTGCCTCAGGCACCTCACTCAGCTTCCGAGGGGGACAGGAGCCCAGTCAGGACCTCAGCCCACCTCTGGGGCCCCTCAGGTAGGGCTGGCTCCTGCTCCTGCTCCTAGTACACCCTTGGAAGCTGTTGGGGTCACACTATGAGAGGGAACAGAAGCGCCAGTGGGAACCGCGTGGACACTGCCCCTAACTGTGTGGGTCCTGTTATAGGTGAACTGTGTAACCCATCCCCAAATTCATATGTGTTAGTCCTAATCCCCAGCTCCTCGGCATGTGACCCTACTGGTAACAGGGTCTTGCAGATGTGATCAGTTAAGTTAGGCTGAGATCGCATGGGACCACAGTGGGCCCCCAATGCACTATGATCAGTGTCCCTATGGAAAGGGGAAATCTGGACACAGAGATGCTCACACAGAGAATGGCATGTGAAGAGGAAGGCAGAGACCACAAGCTGACAAGACTGAGGATGGCCAGCAAACCACTGGAGCAGATCCTCCCTCACAGCCCACAAAAGGAGCCAACCCTGCTGACACCTCGATCTCAGACTTCTAGCCTCCAGAACTGGGAGATAATGCATTTTGTTAAGCCATTCCACCTGTAGCCCTTTGGTACAGCAGCCACAGAAAATGCGTACAGGTCCCTTGATCTGCAACCTCGCAGTGTGTGCAGTGCTACATTACAGCTTGGGTGACGAACTGACATGACTGACAGACACGGGTTAGAGCCCGACCCCGGATCCACGTGTGGTATCTAAGAGTAGATGGGCTGGGCTTGGGGTCAGGTTGGGACGATCCTGAAGAAGTGCTCGGGGCTGTGACGTTCTGAGTGGCAGTGCTCCGATTCTGTGGGACTCACACAGCTGCCCGCAGATGCTGTGTGGAGTGACCAAGGTCAGGACCAGGACATCAGCAGGGGGCTCCATCACCCAAGCACTGGCCCCAAGCCTGGATATGTGGTTTGCCTCCAGGGGCTGGATGCCTGCTGGCAGACCCGAGAGGAAGGAGTGCTTACATAGCGGTGGCCTAGCTGGGAGGGAGATGAATGGCCTGTGGAATATGCCCCTGGGAGATCAGATGCCCCCAATGCCCACAGATTCTCAGTGTCATACTTTCCTTTATTAAAAGGAATGGTGCGTCCAGCAAATCCACAAAGAGGAGTTTTGATTCAGGGAAGGAAAGGGTCAAATACTGACTCCTGGCTTTAGATGCATGTACAAAGTCCTCATCAGAGTACATGGATTTGCTTTTAATCAACCCTGGATTCTCCAAGGCTGATGCCAGGCACAGAGCGCATACTAACCAAACACGGGTTTCCTTCCCTCTGCCTTTCTTCTGCAGTTGCCAAGCATGCTCCAATATGATGTGGTTCTGAGGGGGGGTGACCCCCTGAACTGGGGGAGCCTGGCATTCTGCGTTAGCCAGCTCTCTGCTCTCTGCTCCATCCCCAAGTGCTCCCAGGTTCTCTTTCTCCTAGCTGAGGTGATAGCCCTCACCACTGGAAAACAATTGGCGTGGATACTTGGAATCCACTTCTAACTCCTAACCCTTCTGAGCCCTGCCGGGCCTTGGCCAGCTGGTATTCCTGTTCATTCACATGTTCCTACCTTTCCCCATGCCCACACCTTGCATGTGCACATGCTCCACGACCAGAAGATTGTAAACTAAAGCCCAAACAGGAGGATAAATCCCCATGCTAAGGAGAGGTGGAGAGCTTTTCTGCTCCAATTCTTTAAAGACCACTGCAATTCTCCTGCAATTAACAGTGCAGCTCTGGAGAAGCCAGCATGAGGGGTCCCTAGGTCTATGAGGACAGTGATTTTTTTCAACTGAAATATGTGGGAAGTGTAGTTTTAATATTCTCTCCCAAAGTCCAACTGGGTGTGTGCATGTGCATATTTAGTGCCTGTCCAGTCACACGTTCCCAATCCTCACTTTGGAAAATATGACCCAACATACCTCCCTTTCAGGGATGGCTTATGTCCTAAGGGTGTCCTTAGAATCATCCCACACACTCCACAGGGGGCAGAGCAATCACTCAATCCCTCCTCCGTCTGGAGGTCAAAGGTCAGAGGGCAGCCATGGAGCGCCATATGGTGAAGGGGGTGTCTCTGCGAGTGCCCTCTCTCCCAGCTGCCTGTTTAGGTGGGAGGCTGCACACACCCAGCTGGTCAGCGTGCCGTCTACATTCTAGCTGATGGTGTTCTTCCTTCTGGATGATCTGTTTTCTTCAGTGGAAAAGTCTGGTAAGGCCTGTGATTGGTGCCACTTGTATTTGCAGGCCATCGATTCTCCTTGCCTCACAAACAGTCTTTTATCTCTCTGTCCAGTAGCCTGAGTTCCTGAGTCAGAACAAGTTAGGTGCGTACTGAACTCTCATGACTTATGTGAAATTACAGTGAGTTCTTATCACAGCGAGCCCCGGGTGCTCCTGTCTTCTCCGTCCTCCTGCGTCTTGCCCTTTCTGCCCACATATTGATCTGATTTTCTTCAAAGTTATAAAAGTCATGAACGATAAGTTTTGGTACATATTTTATCAAATGATCATAGATATTTTCCTCTCTTCCCCTCCCACCATATGTGTGTGTTTTCATCTGCATATGTGTGCACAAGTGAATCTATTCACATGTGTATATACACACATACCTGAGTCATTGTCTTACCTGTAAGTTTGTATGTATTATTAGACATCTACTTAAATTTATAATTGTCATCTCTGTGGAAGCAATCTATTAAACAATATATGCTGTCAATAAATTCAGAGAGCAGAATAGCTTTGCCCAATTTTGGTGTGTTTATATGGGAAGGATAGCTGTTACAAATATCAATTCCATAACAAAAAGATAAACCTGATTTCTAACCATCCAACCTTGTAATAGGTTAAATGATAACAAACCATTCATTGATTCTTTTTAAAAAAGTAATAAACAGAACCATGTACCAGTTGAAAGAGCCAGGCAATTCAATTATAATTAGGAACACAAAAAGTGATGAGCCTGAACAATGCTTCCTTAGTTTTTTGGGATAAGTGCTGAAAATGCCAACTACATAAAAAAGCTGTGTTTGTTTCCTCATTATTAAAGGCACCAATGCTAATCACCTCATTTTTGAAAAGCACGCGCCATTTGAATATAGTACAAAACCCAGAAGATGGGTCTAATAGACATGCTTTAGAAAAATCCACATATACATAGACCCAAGTTCAATGAAAATATACACCAGAAGAATATTTAAGTAGATTAATGTTCACTACTCTACTGATTAATGTTCCAGTCCATCTGTCCCTCCATCCACCTATCCATTGATTCAACAAATACATTCTGGGCTCTTATCATGCTTTAGGCCCTGTGTTATTTATATACACCGTAGGTATAATTAGCACCTAGATGCAAATGACTCCGGTGAAAATAACAATTCTTTCTGTTTTTTAGTCTTTGTTGCCTAAACTTTCCCTGTGTGGCTACAGGGAAAAATACGTAAACAGCTAAACACTGTCAAGGACATGGTAACATACCTTTCGTAGCCAGACGAACACAGTTGATTTTGGTCTCCTGTGAACAACAAAAGTGAGGCTCCAGTTAATGAATTGTGGGGTTTGGCTTGTTATATAAAGAAAAAGATATATATTTGCATAGACATGCATACATATGTACTTAAAATTTTAATTTTAAATTTGTCCTTTCCATCTTTCCCTCCATTGGAATCATCTTTTCATTCTATTTCTTCATTTCTTTTCAGGCTTGCTCTTTTCATTTCCTGGCTCCCATCACCTCATAAGCTGCTTCCCAGATAGAACTTCTTCATAAACATAGCAGATACTGCTTAGCACAGAAGAGCTTTAACAATAACACTAAGTGGGTACACGGTGGGCACGCAGTGTGCTTCGTTCAGTTGGATGGGTTAGTCGATGGTGTCAAGGGCATCCTTGGGAAACTTTAAGTAAACAATGCATCCATATGCACAGACTGAAACAGACACTTGGCAGTCGCCCAGTCAACATGAATGGGTAAGAAATCAAACTGCAAAGTTCATGTTCCAAAAGTCACTTTGGCCCTGAGATCCCTGGGGGACCTCAGGATAACCTGGCGTGTGTGTGTTCATGTGGCAACAGAATCTTTGCCGGGTGGACTCTCTTCTGTCCTAACTTGCTGTTCGCCAAGTGGATAGGATCCATAAATCTGTGATGTGGCTGGGCACACAGTCGCATTACAGAAGTGTGCTCAGGAGGGGAATCATGTTGATCTACTTTATTGGGATCACCCGCAGGAGGTTCTGGAGCCAGCTGAAATTTCCAGTTAACAGAGCTATACCCCAGTAACAACAGTCTGAATGGAACGCAGCAATGAAAATGAAAGGCAAAGAATGCAAGTGTGTGAGTCTCAAGTATCCAGTGTTCATCTTGCTGAAGGTCACTTACAGCAGCTCGAAGGCACTTGTGTTAGGGTTATGCAGAAGTAATAAAAGCCATGAACTTCAGTGGCTAAAACCAGCAAAGGGTTATTTCCTCTCAAACTACATGTCCCATGTATGTGCAATGGCTGAGTCTGAGTGAGGGCAGTGCGGGGGTATTGGGGGATGATCTAATCATCATAGTCACTCAGACACCAAGGCTGGTACTTCCAGTTTAACACAAAGCTTCAGTGTTCCTGAGGCCGGAGAAAACAATGTTAAAGAGTGAAGCACTGGCAATGAAATGCTTTGCATCAGAAGCAACACTTTTACTTAGACTCAGGTTTCAGTGGCTAGAACCAGCCATATGGCCATGCCTAGCTTCAGTGAGGTGGAGAAATGGGGTTGTCCATGTACCTAAAGGTAGAGAGGAAATAGTAATGTCTACAGCAGGGTCTATTTTATCCATGCACACCTCTGAATGCTAGAAATTGTCACTTTTATTGAGTCCAAGTATGACTCCCAGTGTCTTAATTCTGCTCCTCAAACCATGGAAAGTCTGCCCTTGCTTGCATAGGAAAAATGTCTGGATACTGAAAGATGGTTCTCAGGTTTATTAACGTTTTGTTTAACAGTTCCTCATAGGAAAAGGTTCAAATTGTCTTTGGAACCATCCTAGCTATTCATCCTAAGATATCTCCTAGGTTGTCCCTCTTAATTGGAAGGGATTAGAAATAAAGAAACAGTCTACATGTGGTTTTGTCAATATATGATTACCTAGATTATCTATATTCCATTTTCCTCACTTAAACTGGGCTTTTTTTATTAGAGCAAACATCTCAGTTTTTCACTGATCACAGTGTATGTGCCATCAACCTTCCCCTCCCCCCAAAAATATCTGCCTGCTGTATATAAATATGGTTGAATTTCTAGAACCCAAATATAGATTCACCTATACACTATTGCCCTCCATCTTCTTTGATCTGATTACTACAGCTCATCAACATATTCTCTACCATCTGCTAGTTTTGGGGCACAATTTTTCTTTAACTTCATCCAGATTGTTAGTATAAGTAAGAACCTGGAAAATGCCAATTAATAGGGTTCTGTGACACAAATTAGGATCCTTCCTCCAGGTTGGCATTCATCTGTTCATGAGAATCTTTGGTTAGTTATCTAAGTAGTCACTCCTCTCCTTAACTGCATAAGCACTCTAATCTGAGTGCTGTATTTTTCCACAAAAACAGGTTGAGTTAGGGTCAAATTCACTTCAGATCTTGCCGCTCTGTCTCCTACATTTCCCCAACCTACCTGCCTAAGAACTCTCTTCAAGAAAGAAGGTTGGGTTGACATGACTTGTTGTTTGGAATAAGTGTTTTCTTTTTTTTAATGCTGAAAGTGTTCCTTTTTAAAAATAAGTAATTGTTTTATTTAAAAAATTGAAAACGCAGAAATAGTAAAGGAATGTAACACATTATGATTCCAATATATGAAATACTCATTTGAGGTGTTCATGTGATATTTGAGGTATGCTATATTTCAAGAAAAAACATTCCTTTTTAAAAAAAGAGAACATATTCAGAAGACAGAAAGAAGGGAAAAAGCCTAAGCAAAAAATACAAAGTAGAACTCTCTAAATTTGATGTCAAATAAGCTTAAGTCACAAAGGAGTTAAAACTTGAAAATGATGGTGAAAGTGAGCAAACAAGTTTTTTTTTTTTTTTACATGTTTGGAGAAATAGCAAAGCTCTTCAACTCTCATTGGCTTCCATTTCTGTTCTCTGGATTGAAGGGTCAGTGAATTAAAGCCTCAGATAGTTAAAGTATGAACTCCCAAGAACTGAAGACTTCCAGATGGTTGCACAGCACCAGTGACCATCGCTGAGAAGCTGTGTGAAACGGGAGAGGGGCCAGGAGACTAGAAACGGTTAGAAGGATCTCCAATTTCATATTATGTAGAAAGAAAACCGATTGTGCAAATACTGTATTAGGAAACTTTCCAGTTCTGTGCATGATTGTTGAATAGAGCAGTAGCAAGTGTTTGCTGAGGGCTGCATTGCTGGGGGCAATTTGGAAATGTGTATCTAGGCTTTACAGAGAGTCAATTTAATCTCTTTACCTCTAAGAATCTGTTCTTAGGGAAAAGCCTTAAATGGAGAAGAAACTTTATATTCAAAGATACTGGTTCCAGGGTTCTTCATAAAAGTGAGAATGAAAAACAGCATAGCTGTCCAACCCCACAGGTATAGTAAAGAAAGCTGTGGTAGATCCACACAGTGGAATCTTAAGAAGTTCCTAACAAAAATGATTATGAGGACCATGTAACAACATGGAATAGTACACATAATGAAATATTAAATGAATAAATTAAAGTATAATTTTTTATTACAACTAACATCTAAGCATTTAAAAAGTAGGTCCTGAAAGAAATATACTAAAACTTAAAAACTGTTTCACAGCTAAACTGAAGTATAATGTACATGGAGAAAAGTATACTGATCTTAAGAAAATAAACAAACACACACCAATGACCAGGACCCAGATCAAAACCCCCAACATTACCAGAACCTCAGAAGTACCCTTCATGCTCCCTCTGGGTCACTTCATCCTTGAAAGGTGAGCTCTAACCTGCCTTCATAGAACACAGAGGGGATGTTCTCTTTAAAACAGTCATGTTAAAGGGAACCCTGAACAGCTTCAATGGTTTGTTCTAGTGCCTTCTCTTCTTTGTTGGGTCATTTGTGAGAGCTTACTAATTCTTAGAATAAGCCTTCCTTCCACAGGTGCATGCATGAAAATAAGACATCTCACAACACTACCTCTTTCACCTTGCACCATTAAAATCTGTTTTCTGTAATCTAGAGTGCATGTCCAATTATGGTGACCTCTCCCTGGCTCTTACACACATGTTGTTGACATGTCTGCTCTCTCCCAAGATCCTGGCACCTTTAATTCCATAACCAATTTGTCTTTGGTAGTTAGAATTAGGCACAGAATAACCAAGCATGAGTCACTCTCTTGACCTTTTGGGTGATCGAATTGCTAACAAGCTGGATAATCTGCATCCTATCCTACAGGAAGGAGGTCTGGCCAGTGGGCATGTACCTGAAGTCCACAGTCAGTTCAATAAATGAGAATGAGTACTTTCTTTGTGCCAAGATTATATAAAAGCTTTGGGAAAAGGGAAGCATTTGGTGAATTTTCTGTTTTATCTCCATTATATTCTACTTCTAGGTCTGCAGTATATTCCAGGACAATACAATTTCATTTCCCTATCATTTTAATATCACTTACACCCACTCCAGATGTAGAAATCTGTACACAGGTACATAACACTTTGGAGTAGAATAGAATGTCCTGTTGTGCTTCTGTTGAGACCTGCTTCTACTCAAGGCTCTGCCAGTGCTGAGCAATACTGAACAAGCCAATGTCCCTCTCTGTGGTTCAATTTCCCCATCAGTCAAATGACAGAGAAAGGGATACAGAAGGCCAATTTGGTAGATTAGGCAGGATGTTCTAAGGTTCTTTCAAGTTCTCAAATGCTGAGTCTGGTTTCAGCTACTGGCAGCATTCTTGGTTTTTCAGTACTCAGTTTTCTGACACACTCTACAGCACCCTACCCCACATACATAGCTCTTTTTTTTTTAAAGTAGGCTATCACCTCCCATATTTCACAGAATGCCTGTCATCTACACATACTTACATACTTATAACCTGTTTCAAGACTAGGCCAAGTCTGACTCATCCATCCATCCATCCATCCTTAAACTATCCACTGAAATCAGGATGTTTCTCTAATTGAGGGGCTTACAGTGTAGTATCTAAGGTATCAAGTATTTCAGTAGCTGCTGTTTATTATCCAGAGGGACTTAGGTTACGTTGTATGGACACCTTGATTGAGAAGCTCTAGGTGCCTGGGTTATACAAACAATTCTTACTCTTCTGTCCCATTAGACCACCCTATTTAATAGGATGGGAATTTAGTACTGACCTCATTTTTCAAATACTTTTCCCAATAACCCTAACGCATGCCATTATTCTTCTCTTAAGACTGAGCTTCCCCAGTTAATATGAAAGGACTTAGCCCTGACCCCGTAGTCTCTCCATAGTTTTCTCAGTTGCATTGGCTCCTTCCTTAATTTTTCTCTAAGACTTGGCTGGG